TTCCAATTATGACCTTGATGTTTTGTCTGCATCACCACAATGTCAGACTATTCTTCATTCCATAGCACACACTGCCATCCAACGACCGTCATCATTTCCGAGGTGGTAAGAGAACGGAAGTAGCGAGATTTGAATTGGAATCACAAAGAAGTGTTCCCGAAACATCTAGAAACTCACAGAATTCTGGCAGGTAGCAGATCCTGGTGAATTAGAAATTAACTATGAGCGCAAGGAGTAGCTAGCCAGAGGGACTGTGAAACTAACTCAAACTACGCTCCTCTCCATAGCAGTTAGACAAGCATTTTAGTGATCATATTACTTCTCGGAAATCCTACAGGAGTAAAGTACGGTTACTGGGGAAAACCACGTGGATCAAGAACTTCACTGGTGGGATTTAGTGAGGAAGACTATGCTCCCAGTCCAGAATGAGACTTTTGAAATGTCAAGTAACGTGCTTGTTCAACCCGCTTGCTAGTTCTAAATGAACGCCTGAACCGTAAAGTTGATATCATACTTTCACCGGTAGGATAAATTAGGCATAGATAGTCAATGACCTATGGAACTGAAAGTAAAATCCCAAAATTTATGCCCATCCATCATGGTGATGACTGGACATCACTTAGATTACAAGATGCCTCACGTTAACCTGTCCTCTGTTTACTGTGCTAGGTTACCCTTCCCAGGGTTGTTAACTTAAAGTATCCTTTATGTGAAAAACAGCAGACCGGTTTAATTACAAAACCTTGCAGTTTTTTATCCTTTATGAACCAACAAAAACGTCACGGTGCGCCCATGTTTCTCACCTCTATGCAGCCATGATGCTGGGGTCTAGGCAGTAATTTGTTTGCTATTCCAAGTAGTTTCATGCCGTTTGTTTGCATTATATTGCACGAACTATAAAATATAGACCATTAATTTGACTGTGAGCTCCACCAGTTTAACTTAGAGGAATTTTTCAAAGCCTTTTTGATGTGACCATGTGGAAGCGATTTGATGAAGTCCTCGTTTCACTAATGTCCATTCCCATCACACACCCTCTTTAGTCATGCAGAACGGTCCGGACAGAGGGCAGCAAACCGTCCAAGAGAAACTTCCCGCACCAACAAAAGTTGTTTTTCTCAAGCATCCGCTCGATTCACCTTCAGAATCATGCGGCCGCTCATCAGATTACCTTCTATTGTAAGCACCGAATATTTCTGCTCTAAGACATCTGACAATAACTTCTATCGAACTTCGTACCCCTCACCATAAATACTCATGTTTCTGAACCTTTCTTTACGTGTGTTTACCGGTTATTAGGCATCATTTTGAAACAAAACCAAGCGCCATCTGATTTCTTTGAAATCATGTACATAGATAGATGTAATGCACTTTCTTCCAATATCGGACTCTCATTCTCTTTCATTCACCGAAGTAGACTTTCCTCGGTGACCTTTTACTTCCACTCAGACATTTTTGTGATTTTTACCTCGATGTTCTGCATCACACGCATCATATTATCCATTCATTTACACTTAAACGACCTTTACCACAAGTTGGACTTACTTGTATATTGACTGTGTTATTCAGCCTCCTCAGTGTATACACTATATTGTAGGAAAGTTATTCTTTTATCCTATGCCTCCCAGAGGCCTTGTACCAACTTCTAGCGTTATCTTGAAAGTGCTTGTAGGTGAAAACTGGCTTGTGCTCAGGCGTGAGAGTGTTGTGACTTACTGAACAGTCATGCAACTCTGTGTCGGTCCTTCACTTCCTGCTCCGCCCACTGTGGTATGTCAAAAAGCACGGTAGCTTCAGACAGCCCTTAGTGGAGACCAAGGAAGATTATTACAGCTGTATCAAAAGGCACCGTAGCTTCAAACAGAGCTTTTTGGAGACAAGGGAAGATTATCATAACTGAATTTATAGGGTAATCATACGATGTTCTACAAGGTCGTGCTAGAATCTCCGTGAGGGGGCGAGAAGCGTCGAGCTAGGGGTGCCTGATCCAGATTGGCTGGCATTCTGACCAATCAGGGCAGGCCTTCGTTTGGTCTGTAGCCGCACGTGACACGTCTACCCGTTTGACATGCTTTTTAGCTGTTAGTGCCGTCTGGCCTCCGGACAGGGGGTCTACAGATTACTCATTCATCGACCGTTCAATGTTTAGGTCCGCTCAAGAAAACGCAGTATCATCCCAGTTGCACCAGAATAGTTCTCCATCTTCGACCTCAATCAATTAACCTCAATTAATACGGTGGGTTTCATTCTTAAAAGTCGCAGGTACCGATTTCTCTTGAGGATACGTTAGTTTGAAGGCAGTACAACTCACACTGATGTGCCACTGATAAAAATAGGTTCTCCCGACACATGTAAATATTGATTCCCACATGAATATGATTCACTAACCACATGTTTGAATCCAACCATCATAACTGAAGAAAAAGGGTGGCGTACTTCCGGAAAACTAAAATGTTTATTGACCCAATGTCACCAATCCCTCTACTGTATTGGTGTCCATTCTTGCTAAGAATGTCAAAACGCAAGCTGAGAGGACTGCGCCATATAAAATTCTCACCAATATCAAAGCATAGGCTCGAATCCTTTACTTCCATCAGTAGAGTAAGACAAGGGAATATGCATACATTCGTAGTGTTTTGAGTAGTTATCCACAACCTAATAATTTATTGGTCTTCATTACAAATAACAGTCAAAGTCACTATACAGAATTGCCCCCGAAGCATGCTACCCGAATTCCTTTAGGACTTTGCAGCATAGTTGTCAAACGTTTGCTCAATTATACTACTGCTCGACGGTTCAGTAGCGAATAAGTGGTGTATTCTGTTGTACCGTAGTCTGTGAACCACTTCAATAATTCAGACGCGGACAAAATACATCCCAGTGTATCCTGAATTCAGTCACTAGTGCTGGTCTACTGGGGTTGCGACTACGTTTTCCCAGTTACGGTGCGGTCGACTTGAGATGGACCAAATCCTTCCATCATCACCCGGGTTCGCTTATTTTATTGTCTTTTCCACCATAAACTGCTTGTCGAACCCCCACACTTGTTGCCTTGTGCAACAAGCAGGGTTTTAAGTTTCGTTACTTTTAGCATGCCTCTGGACATGTTACTGAGGTCGATTTTCAAATCTGTGCACTGAAACCTTGTGTCAACCAGCTAAGGTATTTGCATGAGTCTACTGTGATCTTGTAACATGTACTGTCTAGTGGAAACAACATCATGGCTTGAAATTGCATGTGTTGCTACCCGGAGGTGAATGATCTCCATGAGCCACTGCACACATAACATTTGTTTGGCTAAATGCTGAGAACCAAAGTCACGCCGAGGAGTTCTCACATAATAGCCCACACTGCGGTCGCACTCTTGAAGTTTATCTCTTAGCCTATTGCGTACAAAAGGACGTGCCTTTAGATTTTTCCATTACTATGTGGTGGACTGAAAATTATCACGTTAACTAAGAAGTTCACAGAAATTAGCTAAATGCACTCATTCGCAAACTGATTTGGTTTTACTGAAGACTCTCGTCTATGGTGTGTTTAAGGAACTGAACGTGCTGCGCCAGGGGGCCTAGTGTTTTGGTTGGTGCGATATTCGATATATCGCGATACATGTATATTTGTAATGCACTACTCACAAGGTTGCTGAAATTCTTCGACAGCCCACGACCGGTTTCGTCCTTCTTGGGGCTCACCAGGTAGTCGCCGTCCCAGAGTTTCCGTCAACCTTGTTCTGCTTCAATCCAAATTGGACTGTTTTTGAGAAATTTGCAAACCAATTTGGTTTGTGCGGAAGACTCACCTGGAGCCCATCTGAAAGTCTCGTTTATGATGTTTTAAGTTCGCATAAGGATAATATGATATTGAGAAGTGGATTTACAATGAAACGGAAAACTATTGCAAATCTTGGGAGTTAGTTCTTTGGCGATCAGCCATTGCGTCGCTGTGGCTATTTCTCGTTCCGAATTGTATGGTGTGGTGTTTTTGGACTCATTTCGATGAACAGTTTCATATCGGAAAATGTTCCTGAATACGAAGTGTCCATGTGAGCATTTAAACTTGGATTTTTCACACGTAAATTCTCCTTGGTTGTTTGGTCAGCAAGCTCATTAGTCTCACGAAACAGGGTCTAGCATATGAAAGCCTATGTAAATTTATCAAGCGCATAGAGTCCAGACTTGCCCTCTAGTTAAAGTCTCCAGGACTTGGTACACGCCTCGTCATTACCAAAGGGATAAGCAGACCACGTCAATTCAAAAATTTAGAATTTACAAAACCAACTTTCTAGATATTTTGTAATGCATTACTCATAATGTTGCTGAAAAATCCTCGACAGCCCAGCAAACTTATGAGTACAGAATTACAACAGCCTGGTGCAGCACATTCAGTTGCCTGGAAACATCACAAACGAGAGACCCAGCTGAGTCCCAGGTCAGTCTCCCGAAAAACCAAATTAGTTTGCAAATGAGTGTATATTCGCTAACTTCCTAGATATTTAACGTTACCTGTTCCCAAAAGTCCGACTTCCTCAACGCGTTGGTGGGGGCAATATACAGGTTTTTTTCACTGGGAAGAGCAGGTGTCACTATGAGGAAGGAATCAGCTGTTTTGGAGGTTACGGGATACGTATTGTTCATATTCACATCCACGCGTGAACAGTTGTCCAGGAGGTCTGAGGCATCTGTGGCGCATGTGGTGTCCGTTGGGATTCTTTCAGAAGAGCCCTCGCCCGATCCCATTCGAGTGCGCCTGCGTTGTACGTGCTTGATTTTTTTCGAAACTCTACGCGCAATTGAAGTGGAGGTATCACGAAAAGACTCCGTCACGAAGAGACTGGACCTTACCGTGGTGTGGCGGTTTGTGTACCTCGGAGACCCATTGAGCTATACTGGGGGGTGTCCGCGCGACACTCACCACGTGACTTGGCAGAAAGGCGTGAAAGGGATCACGAAGAGTTTGGATGTTGGTGTTGTACGCCTCCCAGGATGCGGTCCTCGTGACCCCATCTGTGATTGGCTGGAGACGTTGCAAGAAATGGCGGCTAAACGATGTCAGTGGCGATCTTGCTATCAGTTACTTTTCCGATTGTCTGATTGAGCGTTTGAAGGTGTGGGCACGTCAGCATGCTTGAAATAGACCAGCACTAGGTCCCCTCCCTCACCCACTCATTTCCTCTTCTTTTCACTGTAGGGCTTTTAATACAATTATATATATATCATTAGACGAAACTTATGGTCGTACGGCAGTGAAGCATCAGTACCACCATTGATGTTGCTGTCTTTGATGATGATGATGATGATGATGATGATGATGATGATGATGATGATGATGATCACAGCCTTGTGCATGTCAATAGACAAAAATATAGGATCGAAAGGGTATTGCATGTTTAGAATTACCTGAGGCGTTTCGTTATTTCTGAACAGAAACAAAGGTACCATATACTGAGTTTTGCCCGATTCCCCCCCCCACCCAACATCCGAGCAGCAATGTCATATACAACCCTTGAATACCTGAAATAACTTGAATGCCTGGAAACATCAAAACCGAGACATTCAGCTGGGTTCCAGGTGAGTCTTTCAAAAGACCAAACTAGTTTGTAGATAAGTTTATAATCACCAATTTCGTGCAGTTTGGCTTCAAGTAGAACATAAGGTTGACGGAAACTCGGGGACTGCGCCTACCTGGTGTACCTCAAAAAGCGCAAAACCGGTCGTGGGCTGTCGAGGAGTTTTAAGCAACCTTATGAGTAGTGCATTACAAAACCCTTGAATAGCTTCTGTCAATCTTACCAGTGTCTTAATACAAGCATCACAACCCGTGCATGCTTAACTAATTTCTTGATCGTCCTCTAGCCTGGATTCTTGTTCAGCATTCGGACGTTGGTCTACTTGGTAATGAAAGGCCCGGTATAACTCAAGTTTGCGCCATCTCACGTGATTTGGCTCCTTGTTGTATTATATTGCATTATGGTGCTCAAATACTACATGTTAATTGAGAAAATCCACGATTTCTATGATTCAAGTAAATGCTCGAATGTGGTTTCGAATGCCACCAAATCGATAAACCGATTTTCGCCAATGTATCAGAAGTAAGTTCTGCGCTGGTTCATGTTTTGGCACACTACTAATCATACAGTCATCTTCGCCTTGCTTATCCGATGCCAAATGCATAAGAAAGCAGCTAGTTCGCGTCGACCTCCGCGATGAGGGACTACTTGAACGGATATAAAACGCTTGATGTGACTGTTACATTCACTTGATGGAGAACTGGGATTTTATTGAATGAGAGACCTTCGTTTAGGACACATATAAAGAGCCTTACTGGGAGACCGTAGTTTCATTTTTTGGACCGAATTAGCGAAGTGAATCTCCGCTTTGCTGTACTTAGGGGCTCAAGCCTCAACTCTCCTAAGCACGGATCGAAAATCGTTTGGAAATCGTATCTCACTTAGTCTCGCAGGTTGAGTGTCTTGATTGGACAAAAATTCGCTACAGCAATATCCAATGACTGACGACCAGGGAGTGTCCTTTTAAAAAACACGGGTAACTATGCGTTGTCAAAGAAAACCAACCCAACTTAACAAAATAACACGTTTATACTCAAAGAAAACATGATAGTTTTGTTTACGTGTTACTTACTGTTCAAACTATCCTTCTTCTATCAAGCGATGGGGATTCCAACGATAAGTTCCGAAAATGTGGCTAGCCTGTCTCGTTTTGGTGAGTTGACGTGTTTTACAAATTTACAAATGAATGAGTACTACCCATATTCTTCGCGCGCAAAAGTCAGCCCACTATCGATGGTAGCATGATAAAAAAACAAAAAACTTTGGAAATACACCGGAAAAGTAGAAGCCCGAGTGCGTTCTTTGGTGAACCAGAACGTTTTTGGTGTCAGTTTTGTCTTCTTGGAAGACTGGTCGTAGCCACATTCTTCTGTGAAATAGGGCGTCGAAAGTTACCTGGAGAAATAAGTACATAAATAAACTATCATTTAGCCGAGT